ATTTACAGCAACTGCGAGGATATTGCTCATCAGTTGTGGCTTTGGCCTGGCGTTGTACACCGGCCACTCGTTTCGAATCAGCTGCGGGACTCGATATTCAGAGAGGCGGGAAGGTGGAAAGCGATGTCTGCCCGAGTAACATTCGGACGCCACCTGCAGCCAAAGTATGGGTGGCTGCGGCAATGGCCTCAGCCCATGATATCAAGTTTTGACAGTCTTTACCTAGCTTGCACCGCTTACAGATTGCACGGGTAGCTGCACTTTGTGATCCGCTCCGGGAGTGCCGATTTATGGAATATATGCTCTCAACTGGTTATGCATACCAATATATTTAGCATTTGGAGGCTCTACTCAGAGTCATTGGCGGCTCCATGCAGTCATTGGCGGCTCCATGCGGAGTCATTGGCGGCTCCATGCGGAGTCATTGGCGGCTCCATGCGGAGTCAATTTGGGGCTCCATGCGGGGTCATTCGGCGGCTCCATGCGGGGTCATTCGGCGGCTCCATGCAGAGTCATTCGGCGGCTCCATGCGGAGTCATTCGGTGGCCCCATGCGGAGTCATTTGCCGGCTCCAAGCAGAGTCATTTGCCGGCTCAGCTGCGAGCCATCTAGTGGCTCCAAGCAGAGCCATCATACCAGTTGCTCAAATCGGCACTCCCAGCTTAATCCAAAACTCGGTTGCTCTGTTGTGAGGTGGGGGGATGCTAACCTAGGAATGGGTTTGCTCCCCACACTGGAGCTAGCGCTATTCCGTCGACTTGACACTTGACGGACTCACGACTGCCATCCAGAGTCGCCACCACTATTTCTAAACCATACGGCTAATTATTTTAGTTAGCTATCCACTTACCGGTACAGTAAAACCTGTGACTACCGACCACCCCTTGGTGCCAGCAAAAGCGGTCTTTAGTAGCAGGTGGTCTTTAGTTAGAGGTTTGCACCGCGTGACCATATGTGGATCCCATTATATGATATGTATGTCAAAATGCAGCTAATACGATTCCCCAGGACTTGCGCAATGTCAGAAAGACGGAGAGATGGAGAGAGAGAGAGAGAGAGAAGATTAATTTTTTGCAGACTTCAAATTCAGCTGCTACTTCTGAAGCCAGGAGTCAAACGTTCCCTGGGGAAGTTTCGTTTCGCGCTGGGCTTCAAATTTGTTCATGCGATCAATCATACCGACTGTCCTTGTTGTGACTTCTGGATTGCTTGAACGCGATCCTTCAGCATCAGGACCTTGTGGTGCTGCTTTGTTTCTGGATTCCTTGATGCCATCGTCAATCCGTCTGTATGACTGGTGTGACAGAGCTGCCCAGTCTTCGTTTCTCCTCCGAGTAGTAACATCGATCAGAGAGCGCTTTCGATGCGCTCTCCAAGACGTTTCCTATCATGTTTTTTTCTTGACAGCGCTTGAAATTTTGACAGGTGTAGTGCAGTCCACACCGACTCCACAGCCAAAATTACCTGCATTCATTTGTTCAGCTGTAGTATCGAAAGATTCTTTTCAGGACCATGGAAAATCAGTAAAATTTCAAGAAGGAGCTTCGAGCAACATTTGATTTCCTACATCGCGGTCGCTAGTTACGGGTCAAAAATTGTGTTTGGGACAGGAAAAGGCGGTCGCTGGTCGCGTTCAGAAGGTAGTCGCTAGTCACAGTGCATTTTGAATGTGAGACCTTCCGTGCCTGGCGAAGTGGTTGGTAGTACCAGGCTGGTCGCTAGTGACAGTGGTCTTTAGTTACAGGTTTTACCGTATATCCCTTACCGAAATTGTATTCTTGAACGCAATATTCTTCTTTCTTTTTCTTCTACTCCGTTCCATCAGCACTCGGCCGATGGCAGGAGATTGGTACCCACTGGGCTAGCATGCAGCAGCCAAAGCTGGGGCCTTTTCTTACTCCGTCAAACCCACTTCTTAAAACGAAACTGACGTGCATATTCACATTGCATGTTGTGAATGTCCCCATATTTGCCCCGACATCTTAGCTCGTACAGCGCTCCAGATACATCTATGCTACGGTGCGCACCGCATACTCGAATTACGGTACGGGACACATACGGGATACTGCACCAACCATGGCATGCCACGTGAACCACCCTACCAGACACCGTGACACGCACCGAATTACAGCGGTGTGGATACTGGCTAGCGCCAGATGCTACTAAAGTACAACTGAATAGCGTCTTTTGCATAGCTACGGGAATAATCTCATATCCCAAGTATTGCAGCTCTGCTAATAGAATAATTCTGGTTACTCCCACTCCATTTCTCTAGCGCTTATTTTTCTGAAAAAATATCATCTTTGGCACCAGAATGCTGCCAACAAGAGTACATTAACCAGAGTGTGCAGCCCAAAGAGAATCGTCCCACGGCAAAGTTTATTGTTTAGGGCATAGACTCGCAGTAACAGGCTCACCTTTGCTGCATCTCACACCGCTTCACACGGTCATCTACTCTATCACCATGGTAATTTCTGTTGCACATTGCTGCTTGTTTAACAAAAACGTAGAAAACACACCGAATTTCCAGGTAATTACCATGGTGATACGGTACTTTAGCTTGAACCCATTGTATGACGGGTTTTCTATGATTGATAATGACCCAGAGAGAAACTAAACCGGTATCGAATTCCAGTCAGCGACGCAATTCTTCTGAGGTGTAAAGTGACTTCAGGAATATGTTGCAGAAAACTGCGATGCATGCTGATTATTTACTGTGCCCTATTGTGCACAATATACCAGGTGTGTTACTCAGGGATGAAGTAGATGCACACACGTGCCGGGCATCACGGCACAGGTTAGGTTTGCTACTAGCCGCTGCAGTGTACTTGTGGTCCGAACTTGCACTCTACTCAACTCTGCATACGCAAAGAGTGCTGGTGCCGAAATGAACCAGAAGGGTGCTGAGTGGGACGCAACAACACTGACTCTGTCTACCCATGTACACAGATATGATAGGGTATGCAGTACCTGCTCTAAGATTTAACACAAACCGGGTACACGTCTACCTGGCACAATTCCTGCAACACTGGGCCAGAGCCAGATGCGTTCAAGTGCGGCTACTGTGTGTCAGGGAGTCGTAAACTTACTTTCGACTTCCTGATGTACATGATTGTACATGTACATGTATGAACGTACTCGCACTGGGCACTCTGGTCGCACGCATCTGCACGCGTATGCAGCCTGTCGGTGGCGGTATACCCTCGAACGGTATAAAATAGTATAGTACTCGACAGGACTTCCGACCGGGTCGCAGGTAACCCAGTGTTCTTTTTCCAAAAGGTCCAAGTACTCACAAACAGGGCCACTGACCCGGCTCTGGAGCAGACACTGGTAATCTAGGTCCAAGTTTGCTCGATTATGTTCTGACGCTTCATGTGCTTTCATAGCCAAGGTTTCTCACTTTCTTCGCAAGCTCTTTTAGTCTTGAGAGTTGACAACTGCTTATGGTTGTGTTGGCAGAAAACATGTCAGCTAATCTGACAACCGTCCAACCCCATTTTACTGGTAAGTAGTCAGCGAGTGGCTTTGATGGGGCCATACAGTACTAGAGGGGAAGTTACGCGGCATATTTGTGCTTCCTTTTTGAAAACACGTTCTCGCTCGAAGGGTTTCTAAACTTTATCCCTGCGCTCATTGATGGAGTTCATCGATGGAGTTGCCAGCGGCACTCTACAGAAGAACAATGTTGTCAAGTTTTTTTATGAAAAACTGTCAAACATTTTCAAATTGCTATAAGTTTGGTTAGGGCCGGGTTCCACTGCGGCTCCACAGCTCCGCTGCTCCACGGTACTTGGCTGCATGCAGCAGAGCGGCGCGGTTCCAGTGACACTCGCCATTCACGGTACCGCGATCGTGCTCGACGTTTTTTTTATGACATTTAGCCTGCCTGCGCGCGCGTGAAATCCAAAAAAAATCCTCGTGTTCTGGCCTGTGCAACGAATTAAAATTCCCCCGAATAAAACAATTAAGTGCGGGAAACAATGCAAGCCGTGACCGCGGCTTGCATTTTTTTGTATCAAGCAGCGAAGCGAAAGCTGGTGATGAGCCGCGGGCTCGCTGGACCAGCTCGTAATGATGACGTTTCATGCCGTGGATGATGTGCGGCGGAGCGGCAGTGGAACCCAGCCCTTAGGCAAAGGAAATTTGTCATTAATTTGTTTATGCTGCATAGATGGAGAGCTGCACACTCTGGCTTATGGAATCTCGCCTACAGTGTAGTCGTACTGCTAGTGTACTGGCATTACAGAAGACACGAAAAACGAGAACATAATTATGGCGAGAAAGTAATTACTGGCTAAGAATTGCCCTAAGACTTACCGCTTCTCAGTGCTACATACCAGGAAGTAGTACACTACCTACTCCCTGCTCCATACGAGTGTTCTCTCCTCATTCTCTGCATCCTTTACCTCAGGAGTCTCGTCCATTTAGCGGCTCAAATGCTTGAGCTCCGGATAGCGGAAAATAGCTCGTCGTCCATTAGCGGCTCTAATAGTACCTGGTCTGAAGTGTCGCAGTCTAGCACAACTATGATTTTTTCCAGGAGGGTAAGGGTTGCAAACCCAAAGAGACCCTAAGCTTCGTCTATCAAACAAAACAATTGCCCTAAAAAATGGAAGAGGAAAAGAGTGAGCGAGCTGGTCTGAGCGCGCTACTTTTCAAAAAATAGAAGCTGAAAGCCATCAAAGACATAAGTCAAAGCATTCTGGCTAGCGCGTTTGTGTATGTCACGAGCGCTAGCGCGCTAGTCGCAGAAAACGCTCGCAGGCCAGAGTTAGCGCTATTTGGGCTGTTTGCCGCACGCGGCAGCTGGATGGATCACGTGATCCAAGCTGACAAATAAGGTCCGATGGTTCAGCTACATTGAGCCACAAGCATGACTATTGTGTAGTTGTTTGTTCTTACTTGTGATTGTGTGCAGTGCATGCAGGGAGTCGTAAAATATTAATTCACGACTCCTTGGTAGATATACAGTGTACATTGTAGCGGCTGCGCGGTTGCGCATGCACGCACTTCACTCCAGTGGCCAAAGTCGCGAAGGATGTGCCCGATTCGACTGTGCGAAAGAGTTGAAAACCCATACACTACAAAGACAGTCACATGGTTAGCATTTTATCGTTCACGCTATTTTCGACGGTCGGCGTGTAGAGGGCGAGTCTACTGGTTTTTGTGTGTTTTCGAGACACAGTTAGCAGTTCGGCTTCTGAGTCCTGACTCCTGATGCAATGCTCGACTTGTGAGTTGTGACGTAGGCCTTACTCGGAACCTCACCGTTTCGTTCTACCGTTAAAGGGGAAGTTAAGGCAAAAATTAAAATTTCACCAGTTGTAGTCTTCGGGGTGCTGAGTCGAATGGTCGTGGTCCGAGGAAGCTGAGACGCTCCCTTCCTACTTGAATCCCAATCGAACTCGCGCACTTCCACCGAAACTGGGTGACTGCGCCCTACTACATGTAGATGGGGATTTGTATGCAAAATGTCACTAAAAGCGCCATTTCGTTCTTATAAAAGCACGGATGACCGCGATTGGCCCATATGTTGTAGTCTTTTGGACGCTGAGTCGACTGGTTTTGGTCCGAAAAGGCTGCGATGCGGCGTTCCTCCTTTATTCCCAATCGAACATGGTTGAAGAAGCGGTCACGTGCTCCTGCGTACACCAGTCACCTGGTCACCGTGCCTGCAGGGTACAACTTACTAGCCTGTTTGACCTTTTTTGGGTGCAGACCTGTCACTCGAGTTGAACTCGAGTTGAACCTTGGTGTGAAAGTTGTCACCTGCTGGCGTGGTGACCAGGTGATTTGGGCACCCAGGACCACGTGAACACTTCTTCAACCATGTTCGATTGGGAATAAAGGAGGAACGCTGCATCGCAGCCTTTTCGGACCAAAACCAGTCGACTCAGCGTCCAAAAGACTACAACATATGGGCCAATCGCGGTCATCCGTGCTTTTATAAGAACGAAATGGCGCTTTTAGTGACATTTTGCATACAAATCCCCATCTAGTAGGGCGCAGTCACCCAGTTTCGGTGGAAGTGCGCGAGTTCGATTGGGATTCAAGTAGGAAGGGAGCGTCTCAGCTTCCTCGGACCACGACCATTCGACTCAGCACCCCGAAGACTACAACTGGTGAAATTTTAATTTTTGCCTTAACTTCCCCTTTAACAGGGCTTTCCATCGTCGAAACGGTACCAAACCGACGGTATTTTGGATGTTGGGTACGAGTACCGTTGTATCTAGCGTGAACGGTAAAATGCCATGTCTACACACACACACACGAAAACGGTATAGGCCGATAGTGGAAAATAGCGTGAACGGTAAAATGCCATGTCTACACACACACACACGAAAACGGTATTTCTCATCTGTAAATCTCAACAATGTCAGAATATACTTTTATATAATAATCTTTATTAAAAGGATCTCCCAGAGGCGATGGCCTGTCGAGGGGATCTCCTGATGCAAATCATGCAATAGAAATAAACAGTGAGGAAAACTACACGTGTTACAGTGTATGCTACATAAATTAGCAATAAACACAGGGCTGGGTTGTTAAAAATAAAACAATTAATTTAAATGTCAAGGGATATACCACTACAGTCAAATTTAAACCTTTTCACGTGCAAGCGATATTGCTGCTGAAATTTAGAAAGTGAATCTTGGGATGTCAGCCTTGGTGGAAGGCAGTTCCACAGCTTTCCGATCTTATGCAGAAAGAGAGAGGAAGAGATGCGGCCATGAGAATTGAAAATCAGTTTGTTTGGTCGGCGTGCGCTAGAAGAGATATTGATGTCAAAGCGGGATAGATAATCTGGGTGCCAATGGATATACTTGAACAAAACGGTGATGGAAATGTAAGTGCGTCGGAAGTGAAGGGATTCCAAATTACACAGCCTATTTAAATTATTCTTCGATTCATAGCGATCAAAATCAATCTTCGCAGACCGCAGCAGGCATCTGCAGATCTTTGCTTGTAAAATGTCAAGCGATTCTAGCTGGGTAGCGGTAAGTCTGAAGCACCAGACAGGGATAGCGTACTCTACTGTGGGTCGTACATATGACTTGTAGAGTAGGGCAATATGTCCATGCGATAGATGACGGCCCATAAAGCATAACAAATTTACACGTTGGCGAAACTTTTTGAACACAGTAGTGAAATGGTCTTGGAATTTAAGATTAGTGCTGATCTCTACGCCTAGATGGATTACGGTACTTTTAACATTGAGTGGTACGTTGTCCATTTGGACAGACGAAGAGGGTGGAGGAGCATAGTTGGAGAACATGGTGGTCTTGGCCGCAGAAAACTCCCCGTGAATGCCTCTAGCCCAGCGCTGGCAGCTTGTTAAATCCAACTGGAAATTGGCCAGATTCTCACCAACAGGTAAACCGATGTTATGAGTGTTGAGCAGTGTAACATCATCAGCAAATAGATAAGGGGCGCTGTGGGTCAATGTGTCGGGAAGGGTATTGATGTAGATTAAAAACAGCAGGGGTGCAAGATGTG